GCGGAGGCAGGGCGTTGCCCGGCGGGAGCCCCGCGGTGCCGGCTGCTGCCGGTGCGCTTGCGGGTGGTTTCCCGAGGAGTGGTGTCAGAATGGACTTTGATGGTGGTTTTGCTTTGTCGTTTACGAGCAGGAACCTGGAGGACGCGGCGTTGGTGGGACGAGGGCCTGATCCCGCGGGCGCCTCGCCTGGGAGGAGGGAGCAGCCCTGGCCGGCCGCGGGAGTTGCTGCTCGACGGCCGGAGGCGTGCTGGTGGCATCCCGCGCACAACATGCTCTCGGCACTCAAACCACCCCCACCGGCGTGCTGGTATGTCCGACGGCTTTCTTGCTCGCGTCTCATCTTGCTTAGGTCCTACAAGGAGGAGCGGGGTAGCCTGGCGCTGTGTTGCGGAGGGACGGACGGGCAGTGTCCCCCGGCAGCCATCACAGTCTGTGGTGACCCGCGGGGTGAGCAGTGGCCGTGGGCAGGACCGGCCTTCAGCATCCTAAGCTTATGCTGTGGAGGAGAGGAAGAAAGAGCTAGGCTTTGAGGTGGGGTTTTTCAGGACAGGCGGCGGTGACGCCTTACTCCTCCCACCATCTGACGGAGAGGGTGCTAGTAACAGTCTCCTCAAAACTGAGGGAAACAGAGGTGCTGCTCCAGTTGGGCCCCCGTGGGATCGCCTGGGGAGAGGTCGTACTATGGAAAGCAATGTGAGCGATGCAGAGCGGGAAGGTGAACGGGGTGGCTGCTTCTCTGTAAGCTGCGTGCCTGCTGCGGGGAAGACGTGAGACAACGGTCTTTGCTGGCCGAGGTGGTGTGAGGGCTGCTTGCCTGCCCCCGCTCTGCCACGAGTGCCTTTTCCAAGCTTCAGCGCAAACCCGTACAGGGAAGGTTACCTTGATCTGGCACGTTGTAAAATACAGATTTATTAGTGTAAGATCAGCCACGGCAAAAATTATAAAACACTTAGAAGCATCTCATGCTTTCTCATAGTTCAGGAAGTAGGAGTCCAAATTAGGTTTCTAAATATAATAATTTAAAAAAAAATAATAATAATACAGGGGTTTCTACTATCGTCTTAACAAAGGAGCATTTTTAACCTTCAGGTACATACAAATTACTTTTCTTTTGAACATTATGTTCTGCTGAGAAAATTCTTACTTTAAAATCACTTTGGTTTGTACAAGTCGCACAGGGGGTTGTGCAGAGCCTCGCGATGCTGACACCTCTCTGGGGCCAAGGTGTCTCCGTGGCTGGGTGCCGGAGGAAGAGCCAGTAGTGTCGCTGGACTGTGCCGGGCATGACTGCCTTGCCTGGCTTCCAGCTGCCCCGCTTCTCAGGCACGAAGGCGACAGCTCCGTCAGAAGGAGAAGCTGGCATGTTAGGAGTGATGAAATTCAGGAAAACAAATACTGAGGGAGAGTTGTGAGACAGAGTGGTATTTTTAAGGCTTAGGTAGTTCTTCATTGCAATTCTGGGCAGCTTTCCTACAGCTGGAGCATCTGGTTGTTGACTCCTCCCTTTGTTCTCTTACTCCTCAGCTGATTTCTGCCAATTGTTAGTAATGTAGCTGTGATTTTAAAACGTGGAGCTGTGTTTTCCTGTGCATTCCTGTGCGAGACGTGGAAAAATAGGTCTTCTGTTGTGTTCTTAATTCTGATTCCCAGTTTTACAATTGGCTTCTGTATAGGGAGATTAAAGGACAAAATGGGGTTGTATGCTGCTTTTCTTGTACTCTTCTCTGGTTGATCTTGGTCAGATCCTGCCCATCTCCTTCCTTCTGACTTCCATTTGCATTAATCCAGTAGTGCCTTTGCCTGTGTGAGCACATCCCAAAGCAAACCAATGTACGTCATTCATACCTTATGATCAGCAGCTCCATATGTTCATAGTTGAATCTTGTGACAGATACTACAATAAAACGCGACCCTGTCAGACTGAGATACTGATGCACTGTTTTACCTGCTGCTGCTCATCAGTTCTTGCTGGCAGGATCCCCAGGCTGGGCAGCAGCCAGTGATAACAGCAGGAGGGGCTTTCTTACTTGTAAAGATTTGTGCATCCCTGTTTGTCATCTGCAGCAGTCTGCCTTTGGCTGGCACCTGTGGAAGACAGTACTATACCTTTATAAACAAGGCTAGTTCCTAAACTTTGGTATAAGTAGCTTGATGTTTTAACGTGTTCTTGAAGGTGGGCTCTTAATAGGTAGGCTGACTCCACAACTGACTCATTGGGATGGGAATTTTGTGGTATGTATAGGAAAATGCCAGTTTCCATTCTAGTTCATTCGAAACAGTGTCACAGCATCGTAATAAACCAAGAGGCTGCTTTGTTTGGACCCAGCCCCATGCTTTAGAGCAGTCTAACCTCAGTGTGGGACTTGGCCAGTGACGCCCTTTGGTGGTATGCTGTACATTTTCCCCTGCTGTGGGGAAAGTATTTGTGGGGGTCTTCTCCAGGCTGTAGATTTGCAGCTAATACATACCAGGAGTGAGCTGATAATTGCAAGAACTGTGGGCTTTGCTGACAGATGTGTTGAACCCATCCTCTTTCCACAGAGGATGCAAGGCGAGGAAACACTTATACATCTACGTTAAAACTTTATATCCATTTTTTTATATTTTGTTTCTGTTCACTCAACAGTTTTGAGCATTATTTGGTATTTGGGTTCTTGGAGAGTTTCAGATCTCTTCTATAACCATTAGCTTTTCCTTTCTCTGAACCAAGGCATTCTTCTATAATTTCTGAGGTTGGGTTCCATAAATCTTGGCAGAACTTCCTGCAGATGGCAGTTTCTGAGAGGCTCTGCATCTTGTTCCATGCCCTTTCTTCTGTGACCTTGTTCTGAGGCCTTGCTCGCTCAGGTCCACTCTTACTCATCTAGAAAATGGGATTTCATCAACAGGAGGCATCCTGCCCTTGTTTGTATGCGGGTAGGTTGAGTTAGTGTTCTCCCTTGTCCATGGTCTGGCAGAGAGTCTGTACTCGTAAATGTCTGCTTACTTGAACTCTGAGACATTGAGGAAAAAAACAACAGGCATTGAAAAATCAAGCAGAATTAATACATTGTACACATCTCTGTCCAAATTTGGAGAAAATAGTAGCATGTATGGTTGCTTGGACAAGCAGCTAGGTTAAAACGAGAGCAGAACCTCCAAGAAGTTTTCAGCATCCTTTTTGCCTCTTGCTTTCAGGCTGCTCTCCGAGCTGCATGCAATTCTGGTAAATAAACCACCGTACTGGAGGGAGGAGGGAGGATTTCAGGACACGCTGACTGCATACCGTTTTACTTTCATGAAATCAGACAGCTACCAAGCACATGTTGTTCTTTATTTTTAACAAGACTGTTTTTCCTGGATGAAAACAAACCTTGAGGCTGCTGAGGACTGTACCTACTCGTGTTGCTTTTTTCTGAACTATTGGTATTTTCACCTAAAGGTTCCTTGCTTCACCTTTGCTTGCTACATCAACTGTCATCTCATTGAACAGCCTTTTAAAGTAAGATAGATTCTGAAAAGTGTGTTGTTTCCCCATTCAGTTACAAACTGGCTTAGAAGCCTGCAAAAGTTTTACCAGTTCTAGCCACCGGGGGGAAAATAACTCAGGCCTTTGAAATTCCAGCGTGTACTCGGGAGACAGATAAGAAGGAGACTTTCACTTAACGTGCTAATCCTGCACAGCAGTTGTCTGCGGTTCCTGCATCCAGCCCTTTCCAATCTGTAGCTCTTATCTTGTTGGCAGTAAGCGGCAGAAGGGAGAGAGGACGGCCCTGCGAGGAATGAGGGCTCCATTTTTCCTCTTCGTTGCCCAAGCTGTTGCAGGGTATTTTAGGTATTTCAGTGATTGCCTGAGGTAGCTGAATCTTGGGAATTGTGCTTATCTTTAACTCTAGCTTTTTTAAACTTCCTGTGATTATAAGGTCTTTATAATAAATGTTACTACAGTGTGCCACCCCTGTAGGATTTGCAGACAACTGGATGTTAGAGGCAGAAGTTAAAACTGGTGGACTAGGCTGCTCTGAGAGCCCCTGCCTGGGGCTGCTCTGCACGGGGAGCCTGGAGGTGATGATGTGCACTAAGTGAATGATTCATCCCTCTGCCATTTATGTGCCGCTGCTCCGCTCAAAACTGCAGACTATCCGAAGGCACAGTATCACGTGTCCTCCTGAATGACATCCCACCCTGTTAGGGAGAGGGAAGGCAGACAGAGGATGTTCTAGGTTTCTGTTTCTCTCCATTATTACATAGAGGATGTAAATATTTAACGCCATTAGGTGCAGTTCAGAAGTCTGGGTGCCTAAATGCAGTTTGGTTTACCTCTGCTAGTACATCAGCTGGGTCACTTGCCTTGAGTTTGAATACCTTTGTTACAAAGAGTAGCGTTTATTGTTTCCATGATAACAACAGCACTGTCATTATCTGACTATTCTCCCTGTGTGCTTGGATGATAAAGGTCCAGGTCTCAGCAGAAGCTCTGAGAGGGAGAAGGGGAAACAGGAGTGAACTTTTAAGCATAGGCAGAAGATGGGGCGCTCTGGATGCTGCTGAATTGCCCTTTCTGTATTGTTGCTGAAATCAGCCATAACTGGACTTGCTGTGGAAGGAGGTTGGCATCCCACATGTAGGACAGGAGGCACTCGCCCAAGCAGTGGCCCCGCTGTATGCCCAGGATTAGGTGCTGTATATAAATTGCTGCAGCCTGCCATTCAGTCTGATTTCCTAAGTGCTGTATCATCATTTCATCTTTGTCAAAGTCAAATACTGTTGGTGAACAGGCATAGACTTCTGCAAGGCCAGCACTACAGATTCATCTAACTTTGTGATGATGTGTAACTTTGACATCTTCATGAGGGCTCCGTTCTATTTACTGGTTGCCTTTGCAGAGTCCCTCCCAGTTGTGAAGCTGTCCGTGCTGTACTGGGGACAAGTGGGACGACTTGTTCAAAGCAGACGTGGTTTTGGTAAGTAGCATACTGAGCTTCTCTTGCAGATACCAAGGGAAAACTAAAAGCCTCCCTGGCTGGAGGAGGGTTACAAGGAGTCATATTTGAATCTGAGAGTTTGGGAAGTGAGGAGCTTGGCTTTGTCACAGCAGAAATTACCCGCTGTGTTCAATTGGGCAAAGCTGCGCTAAGCTGTTTTGAAAAGTATGACTTACTTTTAATCTGGTGACTCCTATAGCAGAAAGTGTTATAGAAAGCAATTCAGTGCAGTATAGCATTGAACTTTTAGGAGATGTTCTCGGAGATCTTAGGGATGGAAACCATTTAAATGGTAGCAGGAACTTACTTGCCTGTGATAGCTAGAGATGTTGTGTAACAGCAAAACTCTTGCTCTTATGTCTGTTTTCATCATGTGAAGATGTATTCCAGAGAGGCAGGCGAAACTCTATTTTTGTATATATTTATCCTTTTGTAATTACTTCTTATTGATTATTTTAATACCTGTAAAAATCTCATTTCTCCAAATAAAACTGCAGTTACGCTATTAATGGGGTTTTTCCCTGTATTTTATGTTGTATAATAGTGAATTACAAGCATCCTTTTACTATTGCTTTGTTTCCTTCAGTGGTTAGGAATGAACTTACCTTGGCAGGAAACACTTAGCCAGGCTGGCAAAGAGACTGCTTAGCCCTCTCATGCAAGGTGAGTTCAGCGATGTGGTACGACTCACTCAATGTTTTCTCTCTCATTGTATTACCACAGGGCACACGTATAGTAAATAATAGATGAAACAACACCTGGACTTTGTCATTGGAAACTTCCAGGGATATGTAAAGGAATGGATTGTTTTCAGGACTCTTCTTAAAATAATACACAGTGTTTATAGTATTGAAGTTGAATGAGGTATTTAAAAGCATATTGACTATATGTCCATTGAAATTGAGCACAACTAGGAACTTGTATTTTTCAGATTAATTAACTCAACATTTCGGTTATTGTAAATTTGGTCTTTAAAAAGAGAAGTTAAGGTTTGTGATGGTGCTGCTTTAACTCGGGGCTGACAGTGTAACAGTGCAGATCACAGTTCCCTAACCTCTGCCCCCAGCTAAGCACAGCAGCTTGTCACGTGAGGAACTGCATCTGCAGAGGTTTTTTGGCCTGAGCCTCAAACCATCTATGCAGTGGTTTCCAAGACACAGCTGGCAACCAATTAGAGCCTGGACACTGAGAGAAACAAGACTCCTCTCAAACAATTTTGCCTTGTGCAGTTACTGAATGAAACATCGTGCTGAGAGTAAAATGAGCGGGTTTTTTTGTTTGTTTTTTTTCTTTTTTTTTTTCCCTCTCTGAGGGTGTGAACATTGTGAGGAAAACTAGAGGTGTTAAAATCCCTGTCAGAACTTAACACTCTGGAGATGAGGTAGGTGGAAGGGATTTAAACAGCGCTTCACCATGTATGTGCAAGCAATGGTTGTCAGAAAAACAACAAAGCAGAGGATTGAGGGCAGCTTCATTTGCAATCATTTATGTGCCAGCAATTATTAACTCAAGTAGAGCGGGCAAACTATAAAACTTACTGCAGTGACTTTGAAAGTGCTGTGTTCTATAAATAATGAAATGAGCAACAGCCAAGAATTTAAACTAGGGTCAATAACTTTGCTTTTAAGCTCAACTAGTAATCAATTTGGAACAATTTAGTTGTTTTGCATGCCTTGCTACCTATAGGTTTTATAGCCCTTCCTTCCTCTGTGTAGGACAGTCACACGAACACTTGATTTAGCCCAAATGAAAAGGCAGAGGTAAGAAGGTGGGAACAAAAGTAAACCCTGCAGAGGAAGATGCTGACCAAGGGAATGTGTGTCTCTGCCTGCTTTAGGAGATGTTTGCCTTCCCTCTACTCATTTCCTTCTTCTTTTTGTTGGACACTCACTCATCTGCTGGTGTCCCCTAACAAAAGAGGAAAGGAAATCTCCATTGTAAGATGAAAACATCTTAAAACAGTGATAAAATACTAACTAAAGCCAGCTACCATTTAACAGGCCTCCTTTAAAAGATGCAAAAAAAAGGATAACATATAACAGGACAGGCCTTCAAACTTAAGATAAAAAAATCTAAATCTGATTAGTCATTAAAGAAATTGTCAGGGATTAAATGCTGATGAAACATATATACCAAGTGTGGCATAGAGCATTTGTGTGTTTGGGGAATCTGAGGTTTAAATCTACAATATTTACAGTTCTGGCTAAGCTGAAAGAGGAGACCATATCTAACCTAAAACTTGTAGCTGTTACCAGTAGTGTAGTGAGAAAGGATTAGACAGCATACCCGCATATCTCCCCATGAAGCTGGTGTATTGCTTTGGCTGCATAAAGACTGCAGCCTTCAGGTACCAGCAATGCTGGGTTATAGATGCCACTGGTGATTCTTCGCCATATTAGATAGTTCAAGCTACGTATTTGTCCAGAAGAGCAAGTTTATGTTTATTAATGTTTTATTAATGGTAATTATTGAAATTAGACATGCACAAGATATTACTGTTAGAAAGTTCTGAATTATTCAGATGCCTGAATTGCTTTCATACATCTTGGCCTCTGGTCTGTGAGCATGTTCTGTAAGCGGTTTAAGTTTCATCAGTGTATGCAGTTGACAGACATGGGTATAAAGCTCATGGGTTTTTTATAAATCTCCATAGGGATAAATGTGGTTTCTTCTGCAGTGACGGGAATCCTTCCTTTTACTTGTTTAATAACAAGTTAGTTCCCCTCTGTGTTGGGTAAAACTGCAAATGATAGCAGCAGGGTTTATGTTACAGGCTTGTTAACTGTACTGCCTACTCTAAAATGCACTGGCATGTGCTGCAGCCTGTCATTATGCACAAAAGAAACTTACTGAATTTTGTTAAAGCAATTTACAGACATTTCCCTAATACACTGAACAGTTCTGATACAAAGCTAGAGGTATGAAAACATTCGTACGTACGTACTTTCGTAGTTTCAGAAGCCTTTTAGGTCTGACTTGCTGCCGGGAACACTGACCACCACTTCTGAGTGCTGGCACTTTGGTCCTACAAACTGTTTTCTAAATAGGTAGCGATGTTTTTATGAACTAGCAGAAAGAGGACAGAAACTTGTCACCGTGAACCTGGCTCTCCTGAGTCAGCTGCTAGACTGGGGAAGTCCCATCCTAACTGTGAAGCACCATTTGCCTGCAAATGGGCTTCATTTCCTCTGCAAGTATTTGCCTGGGATCAGTTTACTGGAATGGAGCCCCTATTTGTCCCAGTATATAAAGCAAATACATAAGGCTTAACATCTTTGCCATGATTATGTTTTCAAAGGCTATTTACAAAAAAATCTTTAACTTTGGCTGACCTTAGTACAGCGTCATCGGGTGAAGCTGTAGGGAACAGTTGGTTTCTGTGCAGCACAGTCTTTATTTTGGCTGGCAGTCTATTAACTCTGGTAAGTGGGTAAGCTCATGCCAAGCAAAGTCAGCCATATCATGAGGTTCTGCTTTGCCTGTATAGAGAAAATAGCATGAGAAACAGCTCTGTAGGCTAATAAACAAAAAAACATAGCAAAATTTGGGGCTGAGCAGTTCTGATTCTTGAGGAGTTTGACAAAAGGACCCTGTCAGGTGTTTAGTTCCTCACTCTCCCTTCTCTAGCTGCAGAGTTGTCCCTGTCAGAACTGCCTTGAACACAGAAGTCTGCTGCTGCTTTCCCTACCCCCTCAAGGGAAAAAATGAAAAGCAACTCTTATTTCTCGTGAATAGCTCCTCGTGACTACGTACTCAAGCCTCCTTGAGCAACAGCAGAATGACACCTAGAATCAGTGTCACTCTTGCCCAAAGGGTGTACAACAGCCATGGTGCAAGGCTCTTGTTAGGTGGTTGTTGTGTGGTGCTTCTGTGGGGTGGTTTGGGGTTTTATTTTTATCTTCTTTAGCAGCAGCAGTCACTGGAGTTAAAACAGTATTTGTTTACAGATTCAGGAAAAGAGCATTGCATTGTCAGTTTGGAAGAAACAGATTTTTTTTTTTTTTTCTAAGACCTTTATGTTCCTAGACGGCTTACATCACGTACTGGGAATTGCATTCAAAGGCAGCTTGAATTCAGGTCAAGCTTTGCCTATTTGTAGTAGATGGATGCTACTGATAAAAACATTTTACGCACGCCATGCAGAGAATTATTAAAGTTGCTTCTAACAGCATCTGTACTGAATTTAGCTTTCCTTTGAGCTCACTAAGAGTGGGAAACTATTTATTGTGTTTATATGAAACACTATTTTGACAGATTTCTTCAGAAGTAAAGAAGCACAAAAGGAGACGCTCTGTTCTTTGAAAATAAGTGGAACCACTGGCAAGAAGCAGCAACACTCTGCATCAAACAAGGAAACCATTTCCAGGTTATCAAAACATGCTGTTGAACTGAATCTTGCAGCTGCGTTTTCGAATGTACCATGGGATGCATCAAATCCAAGGATGCCTTTCCAGGTTCAAATGCTATCCAGGATGAAAGGATTGGGGAAGGCAATGAAGGATGCACTGGAGAGAAGTCATCGCTGATAGCAGTGAAGGTGGATGAGAAAAGTCCATCAAGCACCATAGTGCTAGACTATGCACACCGTCTGTCCCGTGAGATTCTCGATCAGGCGGTGAAACAGTGGGCAGTGACTGAAAGCAAATATAGCGACATACCTTTTATTGAAAGTGATGTGCCCTGAGCCCTGACTGGCAAGGACTGTCTTCACAGTGAGTGTCCTGTCTGTTAAGCAGTTTGTATTTGGTACTAGTGCAAATAAAGTAAAATCAGTTGTGACTTAAGCATAATGCCACTATATGAATGTGTTTGCAAGGAGAGGCTGAAAAAAAATTGCCTTTTAATCTATATTGCTAAGAAAATAATTGGATTACAGTAGAATCTATTAATTGTGTTATTTGTTATCAGCCGTATGTCGAGTATATTCTGTCTTTGTGTTGAATGTGATCAGAAATTAGTGTTAAAAAAAAAGGATGAGAAGAATGTGGCTGCCCTGCAACTGTACAAGCACTGCCACAGAGACCCCAAAGATGCTTAACAAAGTGTGGATTATTTTTATGTACTGCATAAAAAAATCAGTGGCCTGTTTGTAGGTGAAGAGAGGAACTCTCTATGCTTGGTAAATTTGTCTGTGTTTGGCTAAGTGAAACCAAGGTCTGCATGTAGCAAGGATAACTGCTGTTATAAATTTTACTTTGATTCTTTGACCTGACTAAATCTGTAAACCACAGAATGATGGTGATGAGAAGCATTTTATAAAACCAAGCAGTATTCAGGGAACCATATGGATTATGATACTATTCAGCTTCCATTCTGACGTGAACCAATGAGAAACATTACAATATTGATAAACAGTGCATTATAATTAACAGATGCTCTGGCTTCACTAAATGCATGAAGGCTATTCTCTAAAAATCCTGCAGTAAGACAGTTTAATGACATCTTTTCACTGTGTTCAGACCAAAGGTGTTCGGGTTTTTTAGTTGGGGGGGGGGTTGTGTTCGGGTGCTGGTTTTGGAGAGGTTTGTTTAATTTTTTTTTTACTGTAACCTAGGTAGGTATGCAGAAACTACTGATGCTAACTAGTGGAACAAACTTCCAAAGGTGTAACACTGTTTTAGGACTATTTGTTTCATGGGAACTATGGCTGCATTACACTAAAATTTCATTCTCTAAGTAACACCCTTGACGCCTTCCTTCAGCTTCTGTAGGCTTATGACTTACCCATTGGTAAAATCTTGTATGGCGATGCAAACGTGAGCTACAGAAACCTAAAGCCTGAGCACTGCACTGAATTAGTGAAAAAGCCTTAGGCCCAGAGCTAAAGGGCTACGTTCTTTACCCACTTGTATCTAGCTTGCATCCACACACTGCACCCTGCTTCTCCAGGACTTGCAGCCTGACCTACTGTACTCATAACTAGCATTTGAGATACCAAGAAAGGGATAAATTAATCATAGTCATATGAAAGCTACAATGCTGGCACTTTGTATAAAGTGAATACCTTGTAAAAGCTTGGGGTTTTAGCACCTGTTTGTTCCTTTTTCTGTTATGGCCAGTTTAAAAGACACAGGTTTTTGCTTAGATCAAAGTGCTCTCTGTTTTATGTTTCCGTTTTATAGAAAAATGCTTTCCATACTGGCAAAAACTGTTACTACTTTTAAAAGGTAGATGTAGCTCTAGGAAATTATATAAAACATGATTTTTCAAGTAATGGGAGGCAAGCAGAAAGAAGACTATGTAAATTGTTATTTTCATCTTATTCTCAGCCATAAGACAGTCTATGAATTGAGCTGTTATGCAGACTTTGTGACACAAACATAGTTATTTGAAATTCACCTTTATGGGGAAGTGGTTTTATCAAGCCAACAGTGAAAAGTTCTTTGTAACACAGCACAAGACAGCCATAGTTCACAGTGACCAGACTAGACCCTGCTATTAAGACTGTTCTCAGGCTTTTGATGAAAAAGGGAACAAAATCTGCTTATGTTGTAATGTCTTTTTGTTTGAAGTAATGTAGTCTTCTTTGAAGCCATATGTAAAGTGGGACTAAGGTATTATGGCCCCTTTGAAGTCTACTGCTAGCAGTGATGCTCCTTGAAGCTCTAAGGCTTGTAAAACATTAGATCATACCCTATGTTTGCTCCATCTAAAAAAACTCCACGCCTTATACTAGGGTGAATTAAAAAGCAAAACCAAAACACTGATCAGATCAGTTTGGATATTGCTTAACCAGAGTATTTAAAATTATTCCTCTTATAATAATAACTAAAATAAAGCTTTATTACAAAAAGGGCCAATGTTTCTGTAACATTTGTCTTGACTCCAGAATGTTAACACTGCTAAAGACAGTAATTAAAAGGGGGGGGACAAGAAAAAAAAAACAAACCCAAACTCCATAGACATTACTTGCTGGATAGGGGAATATGGACTCTTCAAGTGAGTGCAGTTTTCTGTTTGTCTTGACCCTTGTATGAATACCTTGGTGGCTGCCATGGGGAACTGGGTGTTGCAACAATTGCTATTGCAGTGTCTCAAATCCTTTCTTTGGATGTAGCCAGAGCACCTGACGCTCTTCTGGAGTCAGTATCAGATGCACTTTTGAAAGCAGCTTCTCCATTGGCAGGCTGCCACTGCATGGTCCAACAGCAGGCAGAATTATAAAATAATATAATACAAAATAGCCTAAAGTTACATCATAGCATCTGCACTGATAAATATGGAAAATTTCCCCAAAGGAGCAAGTTACCTAGGTATAATGAAACATGCCTCACCATGAGCTTCTGTGTGGAATGCTTGCTCTGAGAGCCACCCGTAACCCAACACCGACTGCACCGCCTGCTGCTTGCTACCTCCACCAGGTCCCTCACCTGCAACCACAAAGCCTGGCTTCCCTCACTCACGCTTGAAGATTACAGGGGCTTCAGTAGGGCCTGAAGTGCAATTCTGGCTGGCTGATGATGCTGTCTATGACACTAACACTTCAGGGAATGCATACAGCAAATGGAAAGCAAACAAGCTGACAAACAGGGAGACAGCTTCTCACCAGGAAAATAATCTTTTACAAGATGCTGTCTTTAATAAATAATGCACTTAATAAAAAAACAAAACAAAACTGTTCAATCCTACAATCTGTTGAGATCGGAGGAGATCTCTTTCCAGAGTTCTACTGTATTTTTAATAGGCATAATACTAGCACATAATAAAGACTTCTTTACCTAAATACAATTGCATATGTTTACTTACAATTAGATTACTCTAAGCTGTATAAACCACTTACAGTGGCTTTCCAGTGAAGTTGCCACTGATTCTTTGACTTGATTCTGCGTAAAAGGCACTCCAGTATGGGACTGGCGTACTCTGCAAAACCATTTACTTCTATTTAGGAGTTAAAAATACATTTGTTTTATTTTTCTCCAGGAAATGTAAGCATAGTCTGAGTGGGTACAATGTGACGGACTTGGTATTCTGCTAATGGTTCAAAACACATTAACTGCAGCACAACTTTGTAAAATTGACATTTCTGGAGTAAGACCAGTATTCCCAAATAAAACACACTACAATATATTTTTACAATATTTTTTGTGGAAAATATTTTCTTGTGGACCAAATAAAATTAAATTTGCCATCTGTCTGTATGACTTTTATTTGAGAAAAATGCACAGATTGGACAGAATCTTGTTACCGTGAGTTTAGGGTAATTCCTGTTCACATAAATTTTGGAAGCAACTGAACATGCAAGTTAAAGTTTATTGATTCAAAAGTATACTCTTGCTAAAATGTTGGAAGTCGTTTTCAATCACAGAAGGTATGATCCCTACTCCCTGGGGATTACTGTGTTTTTCATTAAATGTAGTCACTGAAAATTGCTCCTTTTGTACAAAAATAATGGAATGAACCAATTTTAAAAAAATAAAAATAGGCATTGTTTGATAATCTAAAACTTATAAAAAAAATAAAAATAAAAGGGAGAGGTTTATATTTCTTACAGAACCAGCATGAGGTAGAAATTCAAGTCATATTTTCAGAATTACCCTAAAGGTATTAAATTAAATTTCTCAACTACTTTTGAAAATAAACTCAAGGACTGTCTCATAACAAATATGTACATGGTAGCATTAAGTTGCAACTGAAATTTTGACAATTTTATCTTAAAGATTCTTAAAGACAAAGCAAGGTGCCATCTTTTCTTGATTTTGCTCTCTATTTTGCTCACCTGTAGTTCTTTGAAAGTCACCCTAGTAGTTCACCTTGATGCCTGAATTTCCTGGACTTTGTTTCCAGGCAATAGCTTCTAGGAAGGAAGGAGCCGTAAACCGGTGTAGACCATTATTGTTGGCAATAAAAATGGCCCAATGTTGGAAACTCCGTAACAATTCTTCTGTAGCACTGACTTTTGGATTCCCCAGTGCTGATTACCGACTGTGTTATTTGAACAAAAGTTTTCTTTAGTCTCAGTGGTTCATCTTCAGAGAAGCCAAAATCTGTATTTGTGACCTGCCTATAATTGTAGAAACAAGTAGGAAGAGATACTGATACATGATTTGATTAACCATAAAAGAGCACGCAGTCTTAATGTTGAAGATTAGTAGCTACGTGTTGCATACACAGTTAGAAAAATTAATTTTACCCCCCCCCCAAAGAATATACTTTTATCAAGGGGCTCTGGTTATGTCATATAACTTCAAAGTATTAGTATCAGAACTGAGCAACCTTTAATGTACATACAGTGAAGGGTCTTTGATGTATATTTAAACTCTGATCCCAACAAATATGTTTGTTCGGATATGTTGTGTTCAAAAACTATATGATCCATGCAGCAGCAGATACAAGTTTTCCCATTTGTTATCTTCAGCACATACTGCTGTGTTCCCTCTACTTTTCGCAAATTTTCCACCCAGCAGACAGGATATTCATGGGCACAAACAAATGGGAACCCAGACTTGTTGGTATAGAGAAACTCCAGCCACTTGTAGTATTAGGACTAGGCTGACCTCTACCCCTGAAATCATTAGACAGTCACAAATATCAACAGGAAACGTGCTGCTTAGTGTTCAGAGTCTGAGACAGTTATTTCTTCACCACTGTAAGACCAGAAAAAAATAGCACTTTCTGAAATACTGAAAAACTAATTATGCAGTTCAATCAAACATAATGGCATTTTTAAAAAAATCAGTTTTACAAGCAGACAGAAGTGTGCTCTAGGCTCTGGCAATATTATGTCATCTGAAACAATGTCTGCATCACAGAGCAAGGCTGAATACTGACCAAATGTTAAATCAATAGAACAATTTCTTGCTCTCAGACTAATGTGCCAGTCTGACCTTTTATTTAAAAGACTACTTAACACCATGGATTTAGGATGTCTTACATTTTGCTTTGTAGCTCTGATTGTTTCAAAGCTTTAAGTATATTGTATTTTCATTGTATAGAGAAGAATCTGAGGCACAATCCCAATTTAACAGATCAGTGTCAGAGCCAAGAACACAAAGGTCTCCTTACTTCTTAGGTCATCCCTTAACTATGCCCTCTCCCCCTAACCTACGAGTTGATGCAAAAAATTAAATGTTAAATATTGTGTAAAGCAGCAGAATTAACAACTTGTATTGAAGTGATTTTCATCCCTATTAACCAGAAATATTATTTTGCCATTATGGCAGCATAACAAAAATGTTCCTGAAGGCAAAAAAATAGACTTACAAATCTCACACTAGCTAACAGAGTCTTGTCAAACTTTATCACACTACTATTAATTTTTATAACATAGAATTAAGAAGATATTTAAGATGTCAATAGGCTTAAACTTTACAACTTGAGATCGTTGTTTCCCAATGGCTTAAAACAAGCGTCCACAAATTCATCACTGACTTCTTCTAGAGCAGCTGGCTTCCATCTTGGGGATTGGTCTTTGTCAATCAGCACTGTCAGGTAAAGTATAAAACCACAAAAGTTACTTGTAAACTTTCTCTAATTAAGATGACTTCAGATTCTCTCACAAGATTGGATTAAGACAGACAACTACAATGAATGCATGGGGGAGAAAATATGCTCTGGAGAAGAAAAGAGGTTTGGTAACATATATGTTCTACTCTAACAAAAATTTTTGAGTTGTAACCTGTATAGAGACGTATCTCAGAGTCACCAGATGATACAAGGAACAGCAGATCATTTCAGAAGTAGCCCAAGCTTTGAAGGAACAGACCTGAAATTAGTGCCTTCTGTTAGAACTACTACTCTTGCCTGACTTTAGCTTCTTCATATGAAACTGGGAACATTCATGATGCCCCTTTTGGACAAGGGCTTTCACATCTCAGCAAAAGCTGACTCCTTGTAGAGTACAGATGACTCAAAGTAGGTGTTAAATGCCTAAAGCTAACTTAAACACATCATACAAACTAATAATGAAACGACTAATAAGGAATGAGTAAAGCAGAGTATCTTTGTGGGAAAATCAAGAATATTTATTTGTAAATACTGACAGATACTGCAGACCTATGTAGATTTAACTGTGAAGATTTGTATAATCTTAGTATGTATACCTTATGCTGTATTCTGGGAAATACATCACTGAAGATAAAATCATCAGTGAATGAATTGCATGTAAAAGTATAATGAGAAAACATCAATTCTTAAAAAGCATTCATTGTATCACAGGAATTCTGAAGACATGTCAGCAAGCACTAACAACAGTAAGACAAGAGAGAATTTATTTGTGTGAAAATGACCAATTTGAATGAATTCCAGAGTGTCCTTCCAAGCACCTTTCTGGCTCCAAGAAAACCCATAAAGCTGCTATTCAAAATGTTAATTTTTTATAATTTAAAAAAGAATTGCTACAATAACTGTGGCTCTCTAGGATGCACTGACTACCCAACTTCCCTCCTCAACCCACATTCCCTTCAGATGTGTGATATCACCGATTGATCTGGAGATGCACCTGCGTCCCAGGAAACCTCCTGACCAACACAGCCCACAGCAGGTAAGGGGGGGACGGGCAAGAGGCACCTTTCAGGTTCCTCTGATGTGGACAGAATTTGGTTGGTTGGTTGTTTTTTTCTGATAAAGATTTTAGAGTAGGCTGGTTCTGAAGGTCTATTGATAGAAGACACAGAGACTACATATTTTGAAGAATAACAGCTGTTTTTTCTCTAAGTTGTCATGTCTTTTTAAACAGACTTCATTCTTGGTGACTAAACCATAACCATCCAGGATGAGAAATGTACAAAGGAGTTGGATTTTAAGTTCAATGGGAAGAATGCCTACCTAAAGAACATCTTACCAAAAGACAGGCATTATGGTAGTTTGTGGTAAAAATGTGACTTGAAAAATTTTAACTTTTCCCTCTATAGCCATCACTTGGAAAGTGCCTAGAAAATAAGTATCATTCAAATGACAACTGCACTAATTAATATTTCTGTAACTGAAGACTTACAGACATCACAGCTCTTAGCTTGCATCTCCAAAGAGAAAGGAGAATCAGAGCCCTGCATCCATTCACTTGCAAAGACAGGACTAAGGGCTCCTTGGATACAAATAAACACTAATCTTGAAAAGAAACCCAGTATACAGATAGAAGCTGTAATTTCACAGAAAGTAGAATCTGTGTGGGCAATTCTTTAAAAGAAATGTGCTGTAAAAGAGTGATTTTGCTGGGTAATTTATTGAAAAGTTACGATTCTACAAGTTAATTTTAAACCTTGTGATGTGAAGCCATTTATTGGTTTGGGTCAAAATACATAATTGTCCCAAATCAACTATATTTATTTCATTGGAGTAGTACTTACCTAATGATTTTCTTCAGCTTTAATTGAATTTCACAATCTGGCCAAAATAATCTTAACTGTTATCCACAAAAGCCATAACTGACTAGAGATGCTTTAAATTGCGGGGCGGGGGGGTG